TACAAAAGTATTTGTCCCCTAGAATTCTGATTATGCAGCTTTAAAAATATGAATTTTAACCAAAAGTACAACAAATTGTCAAACTTACCATTCAAAAAATATGCAGATAAAAACTTAAAAGCAGGGATTTTTTTTCCCCAAGATCCCCTATATACTATTAATGGTAAGTTACAGCCATTTTACAGTAGCTAAAAAAGTCCAATTGCCATGGATGAATTTTAAATAGGCTTTAAGACTTCATTTACAGGCTCTCTCAGCAGTTCATAAATGTTATGGGGAAGGGGGGGCAGTATGTTTTAGTTATTTTCATGGAAAAGCACATTATGAAAGCTTTGTTCTGCTCTACTAATTCATAGTTTTGTTAGTAAGTGTTTTCAGCACTTGTTATCAAAGCAAAAGCCAAGAACAACTTGAACATTGAAAGATTTTTTTTTTTTTTTTTTAAGTACTAACCATTTTTTGTCAGTGGAAGGGAAATTTTCCTTCTTAAAAAGCCTAAAATTATGGACATTCAACAAAAGAACAAAGAGCTGCAAACTCTTACAACCTGGTGCACCATCAATGCAAGTATCCTAAAAATAAGATTCAAAGTCATTTTAGTTGTCATCTATATTTCTTGGCTGAATAGCTTGTCGCTCTTCTGGTATTGAACTACAATGTTCACATAAAGTAAAAAAAGAAAGCAACATTGCAGCGTAAAAAAGGGTTTCAGATGAACATGTAGCTTGTATCAGATGCAATTATTTCTGAAAAAAAAAAAAGGGGGATTCACTGATGGTGCTAAAACTTCCAGGATGTGGATACAATAATGTGATCACCAGTATTATTTTATACACTCAAAAAAAAAAAAAAAAGTTACTACTTGTTTATATTTCTTTGGCCTTTTGCTCTATAGGTTGTATGCCAATATACACTGCTCAAAAAAACTAAAGGAGCACATTTTCAGAGTATAGCATCAAGTCAGTTATACTCCTGGGATATTGATCTGGTCAGTTAAGTAACAGAGGGGGTTGTAATCAGTTTCAACTGCTTTGGTGTTAATGAAATTAACAGGTGCACTAGATTGGCAAAAGTGAGACATCCCCAAAACAGGGATGGTTTTAAAGGTGGTGGCCATTGACAGTTTTTTTTCTCTACACATCTTTTTTCACTAGTTTTGTATTTGCATAGGGTCAGTGTCACTGATGGTAGCATGAGGCGATACGTGGACCCTACAAAGGTTGCACAGGCAGTCCAACTCCTCCAGGATGACACATCAATACATGCCATTGCCAGACGGTTTGCGGTGTCTCCCAACACAGTCTCAAGAGCATGGAGGAGATTCCAAGAGATGGGCAGTTACACTAGGAGAGCTTGACAGGGCCATACAAGGTCCTTAACCCATCAGCAGAACCTCTATATGCTCCTTTGGGCAAGGAGGAACAGAATGAGCACTGCTAGAGCCCTAAAAAATGACCTCCAGCAGGCCACTGGTGTGAATGTCTCTGACCAAGTCAGAAACTTACTTCATGAAGGTGGCCTGAGGGCCCGACATGCTCCAGTGGGCTCTGTGCTCACTGCCCAGCACCATAGAGCTCGATTGGCATTTGCCATTGAACATGAGAATTGGCATGTCCGCCACTGGCACCTTGTGCTTTTCACAGATGAAAGCACGTTCACCCAGAGCATGCGACAGATGTGAAAGAGTCTGGAGAAGCCGTGAACGTTATGCTGCCTGTAACATCATTCAACATGACCATGTTGTTGGTGGCTCAGTGATGGTTTGGGGAGGCATATCCATGGAGGGACACACAGACCTCTGCAGGCTAGACAATGGCACCCTGACTGCCATTAGGGATCGGGATGAAATCCTTGGACCCACTGTCAGACTCTACACTGGTGCAGTAGGTCCTGGGTTCTTCCTGGTGCATGACCATGCCCGGCCTCATGTGGCAAGAATATGCAGGCAGTTCCAGGAGGCTGAAGGAATTGATACCATTCAATGGCCCCCACGCTCTCCTGACCTAAATCCAATAGAACACCTCTGGGATATCAGGTTTCTGTCCATCCAACATCGCCAGGTTGCATCTTAGACTGTCTAGGAGCTCAGTGATGCCCTGGTCCAGATCTTGGAGGAAATACGCAAGGACATCATCTATCGTCTCATTAGGAGCATGCCCTGACGTTGTCAGGCATACATACAAGCACGTGGGGCCATACAAACTACCGAGTACCATTTTTGAGTTGCTGCAATGAAATTTCAGCAAAATGGACTAGCCTGCTTAATAATGTTTTCACTTTAATTTTTGGGGTGTCTTTAAATTCAGTTCTCTATAGGTGATCATTTTCATCAAACAATGGGGCATCTTTACGTTCCTAAAACATTACCCAGTCCACATCAGTATAGATATCCAGCATGATATTTTTCCCCATTGAGATATGTGTTCTCAAAGTGTTCCTTTAATTTTTTGAGCAGTGTATTACAAATTGGGTGACTTGTCAGACTTCCAAACAACAAATTGTTGGTGCCCATTTAGCTGGAACCATGGCGAGAATTTATTAGGGAAGAATAGTGGTCGTAAATGAAGAATGACACTGTGGGGAGGATTTGGCCATTTATGGGGTGCCTCCAGGTGGTTTAATGAACACCTTAGGAGTTGGAAAAGTACATTACACACAGGAGGTTTTTAAACCTAGCACCAAGTGACCTAGCGAGTACTTTCCCCTTCTCAATAGGGGAGAGGAAAGGAATTTTAAACTACAACCAAAAAGCTTAGCCCTTGGATGAAGTAGGAAATTGAAGTAGGAGTTTACCATTGTAGGTTTTCTTTTGCAGCAGGAGGGGAATGAATATCTGTTCAACAACAGCACAGACAACCATTTTTATTTATTTTAATTTTTTTTGTAGAATTGAGTAGGGCTTTCCTCAGGCTTTTTTTTTTTCTTAGTTCATTTGCATGTGCAGTCTATTGTGTGAGTTGCCAGGCAGACCTTCCAACCACTGTTCTCAGGAAGACAATGTTCTCTGGTAGCCATATTTTTAATCAGTACAACATTGAAAATGACCCAATTTACAAAATGTAGAAATGTGGAACTCCGCTCTAGGGAAGTTGTGTCACTCCAGCATTAAGAGCTCCTTACTGGCATTTCAAAGAATCCAGGTAGGAAAGATCAGGGTGGATGCACAGAGAAACCCCCCCAACATCAGAGTCAATAGGAAAGATCAGGGTGGATGTACAGAGAAACCCCCCCAACATCAGAGTCAATATAGAGAAATTATATTGTATGGGTAAAACAAACTATGTATAATATTCAACTCGTCTTTCAATAAAAACTTGTATTGGATACTAGTGACACAGATGGCAATAAACTCTACTTTAGTTTTAAAAAAAAAAAAAAGAAGGAGGACGACACAAATAATCATTTTGATGGGAGTTGGGCTTTAAAGTGTTTTGGCTGCAGAATGATCAAAGAAAAGACTCAAAATGCCCCTTTGTTTTTAAACTCACTAAATAGATTCAAAATTGTAGATTTGTGGAATTATACTATATAGATTTTTTTCAAAGACTTCTATAACGCATATGCTTATTTTCGGGACTTGATTTGTTACAATCCCACACAGCAAGGAGAAAGAATATCCCAATAATTTGTCAGAATCTGCATGGCAAACCAATATCAATATATAAATATGAATTTTATTGGTAACTTAGAGTAAAAATATACAGTAGATAATTAAGACATTTTATTGGAGTAAAGATGATGTACAGTACATAATTAAGACATTTTATTAACAACCTATAACTATATGAAGTAATAAAACCCACCTATCCACAAACATTATGCAGAAAAAAAAAAAACTGTATTATACTGCTTTACAAAACAGAACAAAGAAAAAAAATATATATAGTTAAAGTGATCCTACCATTAGATATAGACTAAGAGCAAATGTTACAAAAATTAAAAAACACAAAAAAAATGTATATGCTTAAAACAAGAGGAAAATTAAACCCTGCTAAAAAGTATCATGCACCCCCTTAGTGTAAAAAGAATGTAACCTATAACAGCCAATCAGAACTATTGTAGTCCAACTAGCCTAAAGCTGACAAAAAACAGGAGACAATTGAAGTCAAATTTGATTACAGTGAATGCCAAACTCAAAACTGGGGCAGCAGCAGACACCTGCCAGCCAACCGTTCACCTATGATATGTAAAGCACTGAGAGTTGTCTCATCTTCTCCATAGCAGAGCATGAAACCAGTCTGAAAGACCTCTACGGATGGATGAATTATGCCTGCACCTTAAACTTCTGAAATCTGATTCCTTGCTATAGGTTACTGCAAAAGTATTGCTTGTAACTTAAAACTCTGAAGGGTTTTTAAGAAATGGAAAAAAAAAAAAAAAAAAACACACCACAGGCAAACGAAGTATTAGACTGGTAGGGTGTATTGTGCCAGAGATCCTGTTATTGTGCTCCCCTTAACCAAGTTCCTCACACTACAAGCTGAATAGAATTTAGATGGTAGTGAATGTTTTAAGGAAATGATCCTCAAAGATAGCAAACGAGGAAAGAACCCATGTACATGAACCCTAACTGTTGCTGGGATGGGTATGGAGCCATTATCTAGGCACTGTATTGCTCTATTTCAAATCTGCTTATCTGAAAACAAACATTAACTATTTGCACATAACTGTGAATAAAGTGTAACATTTAGCAAAGCAGCAACTATTAGATCGGCCATAAAAGCACATAGTTCATTTACAAAATGAGTAACAATGTCGGAATCATTGAGCAGTGCTAATTACCTGGGCATCAGTGACATTTTTTTAAGCGCACTACAAAGGTAAGGCACCACCGGGAGTTAGTTAGATCTGTGCAATGACAGTCACTAAAAGGATTCAGCAAAAAATGAGCCAGTATACCCTTTGTAGGGAAATATAGACACCTAACCCTTTACATTCTCATACAGGTGACAGCTGTAAAGTCACATCATGTGACAGCAACTGAAGGATGCAACAAGTCTTCACATCTGTGTCCGACCCGGACTGTTCTTATTGATCGAATCAAAGTCGATGACTATACTTTTTCGCTTGGGAACAAATTTCCTTAAAATATAAAATATATAGGTTAGTTATCTGCCAAAACTAGTTTTATAACAGTAAAATGAGAAAAAAAAAAAAAAAAAGGGAGGGGGGAGGGATAGATACATTGCCTAGGCTTCACGCTCTCTCTAGAGGAGCCAATTATAGTGCCCCATGCAGAGAGAATCCTTAGAAGGGATAGACTGAAACAAAAAGACACATGGGGTTGCTGAGGCTGTGTGTTTTTCAGCTAACGGAGATCATAAATTATCAGGAAAGGAAAACATTTTCTAACAACTGAACTCCAGGAGTTGGTTTCATTGCTAAAGTTTTTTCCTTTGTGCAAAATGCACCACCAGTTTTCCCCCTCTGCTCCCTATTGCTCTGTTAAACTTAATTTATAAACTTAAAGACCTACAGTGTATATTCAAAAAATTAACCTCAGCTACAGTAACAATCCTGCCCCGTTAGACAATATAATGGAAAGTGAAGCTAAGAAAGAGGACCTGAACTGTGGATGATGTGCTCACAATAGCCAAGGATTGCATGAGGATTTAGAGACAGGGCTTAGCTTCCGCATAACTAAACCACCTCCTGCGAATAAGTGTGATATCCCTGTACAGGTGTGAAGATGAACTACCAGGCAAAAGGATAGTACTTCAAGCTTCGCTGCCCTCTGAAAGATGGGGATGTCCTGAAGAGACTACAAAACACAGAGGGTGCACCAGCCTAGTGCGTTATCCCACAGCATTATAAAACCATGGTTCCCGCAGCCATGTCTCAGCCAATGAGGGGGGGGGGGAAACTCGGGAAAGCTGATTCTCCTGTGCACATAGCTGGACCGAGATCAGGCTCAGGTGAGTATTGGGGGGAGCGGCTGCTGCACACTGAAGGTTTTTTGATCTTCATGTGTTCAATGCATGAAGGTAAAAAACCTTCTATGTAAAGCATCAACCCCAGTCCCCCCTAAAACTCACCTAAGCATCCTCTTGATCCAGTGATGTGCACTGGAGTCTCGGCTATCCCAGGGCTCCCTCTTCTCATTGGCTGAGACAGAGGCAGGAGTCATTGGATCCCACTGCTGTCAATCACAGATAGTGAGCCAATTAGAAGAGAGGAGGTGGGGCCAAGCCACAGCTCCGTGCTGCTCTGTGCAAAACCACTGCACAAAGCAAGTATAGACATGGTTTTTTTTTCTTAAAAAAAAAATAAGCCTTTAGAATCACTTTAAAATGCCTCTAAACCCTAATGTGCATGTACACGGTGCGTTGCTTCTATAGACAAAATGCTAAACTCCTCTAGCAGTAGTGTTTTTTTAAGCCAGTATCCATTGACCCTGTATGGCATGCTCCCAACCCCTATGTAAGACCAAAGGGCCTGGTGATTGGCCGTTCAGGCACAAAGCACTGCATTAATGAGGAGGCTTTCCAAATCCAGAAGTACCTGAATTTTTAGAATGCAGCAGCAATAAGAGTGGTAGATAAAAGCATAGTCAATGAAACGTGCCTAAAGAGAGTGTGGGGAGATTGATGAGATTTCCTGGTTTTATAAAAAGAAAATTGCTTTATTTGCCACAAAAATACTGATCCAGGTATAAAAAAAAAAAAAAAAAAAAAAAAAAAAAAAACCACAACATTGCTGAGAAGATAAAAATTGCTCTTACGTGTATCTGATACCAGCAAGGTTAAACAGAAGCCTTGCAGCCTTCATTTCTGGAGAGCCATGGTACTTGTCCGACATGTAGATCACTTCTATAATGCCTAAACAAAAATATATATTGCATCACTTGTTGTAGAATGAAAGCAATAAAAGAATCTCCAATACATAGCTACTCTACTACACATTTTACAGGGCTGCAAAATGGCCAGAATATTTAATATACAGAAGTAAGAATATCCATTTAAAGTCCATCTGAAGTGATATTGTGCACTAAACAATATTGAAACAGCACTCGGAGCTCCTTCAAATCTGACACTGCCTTGAATGTAAGATGTACTCAACTCTTAGCTTTCTGTAATGCCTGCTAAGGGGTTTTAAGATCTACAATTACTCACCTGCTTGTATGATTAGCTTGGCACATTCATTGCATGGAAACAAAGCAACGTACATGACGCACCCTTTTACATCTGCTGAATTCTTGTTCATAATGGCATTCAGCTCGGCATGGCAGACTGGTAAGATAAAATATAAAAGGGAAACACCACTAGATGGCACACCTTCACATGTCTACGAAAACACAGCATACAAAGATTGTACAAAAAAAGAGAAAAGTATCTCAAAAAGTGTGTTCAGGCAAATATTCTAACATAAAAACAAAATAAACAGTCTCTTTTTAAAGACCAAGTCCACTCAAATGTTTATATAGTTAAAAGGCTGCATAAGTAATGTGTTGTAGGCAGAGGCCATTTGAAATATTTCCCATAATTTCCAAATAACTGCACAATTCTTACAATACTGTAAGCTCCTTGAGGGCAGGGACTGATGTAAATGTACAATATATACATAAAGCGCTGCATAAATTGACAGCGCTATACAAGTACCTGTAATAAAATAAATAAAAATATTGTCTCCACATGGGCAATGCAGACCAGACAGAACGGGGGCAAGGGACTTTTCAAGAGTCTCATAGTAATAAAAGCCGAGGTAAAGCAAGCCTGTCATAATTGAAAAACAAGGCAGAGCATGGTATTTGCACATATCCCTAAAATCTCATGACCATCCAGTGATTCCCCCCCCCCCCAATGAATTCCAGCTTTAACATTTCTAACTTGCAGAAGCCCAGAGCTAAAAACACACACCAGAATGACAGTGTTAAGCAGGTGGCTCCCACTGGTGCCAACAGTGAATTGAAAAATGTAGGGGGCCTGCCTAAGGGCCCAATGTCTGGACCAGCATTTGTTTCACAAAAGATTTTTTTGTGTTTTCCCACAAGGGCACAGTAAAAAGAGTAAAAGGCACAGTAAAGGAATGCAAACTGGGCATTCAGGTAAAAGCGTACCATATGAAAGAGATTCCAGTGTTCCAGCATGATACACTATCAAAGGTAATCATATGGAGCAACAAAGCAGTGGTATCAAGGAATAGGACAGGAATACCTAATGCAGTGCACAAGCTGACATGGGTTGCTTGCTGCCATGAATAGCAGACACCTGAGCCAGAGGAAAGGCCTTTCTTAATCTAGAAACTGTCCTACAGATATTGTCAGGCAACTGATGTGCCTTCAGCTTCACTGGATCGTAGTTATGACAAATATAAAGAAAATGTTATCTGAATTGACCACGTAAATTGTGTACTTTCATGGTCACTAGAACAAAAAACAGTTCATAAGAAGCCCCCCATTGTTGACAGAATTAAAGTATAACTAAAGGCAAAACTTTTTTTTAGTTTTGGATAGAGCGAAGATGGATTAGAACCCATGTTAGGTTTTTATTGTTGTCTGTGCCCGTTAGGGGAGATTCACCCTATTTGTCCGATTTACCATTATCATCGAAAGGGAATATAAAAGAAACACCCAAATTTGGGTTATCCCCAGAAAAGTAATAGAGGGAAAATCTTCCAATGGGGACATTAGTTTTGGTGACCTAGGGGTCCCCAAGGAATTCCCTTAATTTTCAGGGATTTTCTCATTTCCAAGTTTGGCTATGGGACAGGAAGTGAAGGGAAATCTGTCCAATGGGACACAGATGGCAAAAAAATAAACTGACAGGGGTTATAACCCTCACTTACTTTATCCAAAATGATAAAAAAAAATGTTTTGCCTATAGTTCTACTTTATGTATATCTGATGGGGAAGGAAGGGGAGCAGATGGCAGTGGTGGTACCACAGCTGATGGGAAGGGGGGAAGCTGATGCCGTATTTCGGGGGTAAGAGAGCTGATGGTGGAAGGGAGATGATGGTGGTGGTTGGGTGCACAAGAGCTGTTGGTGGAGGGCACAAGATTTGATAATGAGGGAGGAAAAAAAAAAAAAAAAAAGCACAGCACAGACATCGGAGAAAAGATGAAAGGTGGATACGTCATAAATATAAACCAAGCAAAGGGATGGTGTGAAAGATCCTGAGGAAACAGCACTGCACTACAGTTTACTGATCACACTGGGAGGGTAAAGAAGCCAGAAAAGAGAGAGAAGGAAAGGAGAGAACATTTATACACTCTGTTCCAAATTATTATGCAAATTCTATTTAAGTGTCACAAAGATTAAATATTTTGTTTTTCAGTTTAACTCATGGATGGCATTGTGTGTCAGGGCTCTTTTGATCACTGAAAACAATCTCAGACACCTGTGATAATTAGATTGGCCGGTGAGCCCAATTTAAGGAAAAACTACTAAAGGAGGGTGTTCCACATTATTAATCAGAGCACCATTATCAAGCAATATAGGGAAGAAAAAGGATCACTCTGCTGCTGAAAAGAGTGAAATAGTTCAATGCCTTGGAGGAGGTATGAAAACATTAGATATTTCACGAAAACCTAAGCGTGATCATCGCACTATTAAGAGATTTGTGATTGATTCAGAGCACAGACGGGTTTGTACAGATAAAGGCACATTGAGGAAGATTTCTGCCAGATCCATGCATTGGATCAAGAAAGCAGCTGCTAAAATACCATTACATAGCAGCAAACAGATATTTGAAGCTGCTGGTACCTCTGGAGTCCCACAGACATCAAGGTATAGAGTCCTCCAGAGTCTTGCAACTGTGCATAAACCTTCTATTCGGCCATCACAAACCAATGCTCACAAGCAGAAACAGCTGCATTGGGCAGAAACATACATGAAGACTCATTTTCAAACAGTCCTGTTCACTGATGAGTGCCGTGCAACCCTGGATGGTCCAGATGGATGGAGTAGTGAATGGTTGGTGGACAGCCACCCTGTTCCAACAAGGCTGCAACGTCAGCAAGGCGGTGGTGGAGTCATGTTTTGGGCCGGAATCATGGGAACAGAGCCGGTCGGGCCCTTTAGGGTGCCTGAAGGTGTAAAGATGACCTCTGCAAAGTACAGTTGTGTTCAAAATAATAGCAGTCAGACATCATTAACTTGATCAATCACTGTTTTTGGTAGAAACTATATTTCTACATGGCAAATAATTTACCAGCAGGTGTAGTAGAGTAATAGAAATCCAACAGACCCAACAGTCATGACATGCATGCTGCTGATTCTGTGTAATTGAATCACTAATTGAAAGGGGCATGTTCAAAATAATAGCAGTGTGGAGTTCTATTAGTAAAGTAATTCATTCTTTGAAAAACAGGTGGCAATTATTGCCCTTATTTAAGGAAGGAGGCAGCAAATGTTGTACATGCTGGTTACAGTGCATTTCTCTCTGAAATTCTGAGGAAAATGGGTCGTTCCAGACATTGTTCAGAAGAACAACGTACCTTGATTAAAAAGTTGATTGGAGAGGGGAAAACATATAAAGAAGTGCAAAATGATAGGCTGCTCAGCTAAAATGATCGCAAATGCTTTAAAATGGCAACCAAAACCTGAAAGATGTGGAAGAAAGCAAAAAACTACCATTCGAATGGATAGAAGAATAGCCAAAATGGCAAGGACTCAGCCAACAATCAGCTCCAGGAAGATCAAAGAAGGTCTAGTTACCTGTGTACTGTTACAATTAGAAGACGCCTATGTGAAGCCAAGCTATCTGCAAGAAGCCCCCGCAAAGTCCCACTGTTGAAAAAAAGACGTGCTGAAGAGGTTACAATTTGCCAAAGAGCACATTGACTGGCCTAAAGAGAAATGGCGCAACATTTTGTGGACTAATGAAAGTAAGACTGTTCTTTTTGGGTCTAGTGGCCGGAGACAGTTTGTCAGACGACCCCCAAACACTGAATTCAAGCCACAGTACACTGTGAAGACAGTGAAGCATGGTTGTGCAAGCATCATGATATGGGGATGTTTCTCATACTACGGTGTTGCGCCTATTGCATACCAGGGATCATGGATCAGTTTGAATACATCAGAATACATGAAGAGGTCATGCTGCCTTATGCTGAAGAGGAAATGCCCTTGAAATGGGTGTTCCAACAAGACAACAACCCCAAACACACCAGTAAACGTGCAACATCTTGGTTCCAGACCAACAAGATTGACGTTATGGAGTGGCCAGCCCAATCCCCGGATCTTAATCCAATAGAAAACTTGTGGGGTGACATCAAAAATGCAGTTTTTGAGACAAAACCAAGAATTAGAGAAGAACTGTGGAATGTAGTCCAATCATCCTGGGCTGGAATACCTGTTCACAGGTGCCAGAAGTTGGTTGACTCCATGTAACATAGATCTACAGCAGTTCTCAGAAACAGTGGTTATACAACAAAATATTAATTGAGTGATTGAAAGGAAAGCAAAATCTTCAAACATTTTTCAGTTTATATAGTGAATGTCTAAGTTTGTAAAGAAGAATACAAACACTGCAATTTTATAGAACAGTCTAATATTCACTTTTCTTCATTTCTTTTTAAGAGGAACAACACAAATGTGATATATTTTTCTTCAGGTTTTGATTTGGAATAGAATGTGTAGTGTTCCCAATGCATTTGTGTGTATGGAAATAAAAGCTATTAGAAGGATTTTGAGCTTTATTCACTTTTTTCAACACACTGCTATTATTTTGAACACAACTGTATGTGGAGTTTATGACTGACCACTTTCTTCCCTGGTACAGAAGGAAGAACTATGCTTTCCGTAATAAAATCATCTTCATGCATGACAATGCACCATCTCATGCTGCAAAGAATACCTCTGCATCAATGGCTGCTATGGGGATAAAAGAAGAGAAAGTCATGGTGTGGTCTCCATCCTCCCCTGACCTCAATCCTATTGAGAACCTTTGGAGCATCCTCAAGCAAAAGATCTATGAGGGTGGGAGGCAGTTTACATCTAAACAGCAGCTCTGGGAGGCTATTCTGACATCTTGCAAACAAATTCAAGCAGAAACTGTCCAAAAACTCACAAGTTCAATGTGAAGCTGCTATCAAATAAGGGGTCCTAAGTTAAAATGTAACGTGACCTGTTAAAATATTTAAAAAGTTAAAATGTTGTTAAAAGTTTGATTGAAATAGCTTTTGATTTCAGTAAATATGCTGCAAAACACAACAAATGACAATTTTCAGTTCTTTACAACCTATAAAGTGTTTTGAAACTTACTGTGCGTAATAATTTGGAACAGTGCATTGTAAGTTTTTTATGTTTGAAAAAATACTGTTTTCATTAGGAGGTTTGTTCAATAAAATTTGAATTGTACTCTAATAGTTGATAACATGAGAATTATGCTGACTGTTATTTACATTAATTATTTAGGTAAATGAGAAAAATAACATTTGCATAATAATTTGGAACAGGGTATAGTATAGCGACTGAAGATCAGAAGAGGACAGCAAGGCTGGCAGCATCAGAGAGCAGATGAGTGAGCTGGGACATACAAGCATAGCAGAACATCCATGAACATAAGGAGCAAGGGACCGAATCATAGAATGGAAGACTGAGAAAAGCCAACAGTGTGCATAGTGAACACCAGTTCCCTGTGGAAAACCAGCAGCTGAAATACAAGCAGATGACAGCAGGGACTGGGATACAAGGGCAGAAGTTAGGCCAATCCTGCATTCAGCATGTAGATGAGCACTGAGGGGACAATGGAGTTTTGGGAAGAACAGTGGATGAAGACAGGAAAGAAGAAAGGAACAAAGCTGGAAAATGAGAGCAGACCGCTGTCACTTGTTTGGGGTTTTCTTCCTAAACTGTAGTAAATCCAGGATGTTAGCTAGTTGCAATTGGAGAGAAAAAGCTCAGTGAGAGGTCCGCTTCTCGAGTAGGCATATTCTCTCGCACGAAAAAGTGGATTTACTATTTAAACTATAAAAACGTATTAATCATTTTGCATATTTACATAAACAGATACTCAAAATAGCACAGAATTGTGCTTCAACTTATTCAGCACTGTAATTGAGGACATTACATAGGAGGGTTTTTTTTCCAGCAGTAGACCAACTCTAAAGAAAGATTGCTGCTGAACTTGCAAATGCTCCATGGCATCATCTGTTTCTGTTGTAAAGGCACTGAAATCCTCATCAGAGTATGCACAGGACATATCATTAGGCTCACAAAGCCTGTGTGGCCAATTCCTGGAGACAAACAATTTAACTTAAAGAAGTTTCCAGAAATAAAAATATAAAACCTATAGTTGGAAAGTTGCAAAATCCCATTTCATCTACATAGCACATTCATAAGGGGCAGCAGCTGGGCTCTTCGTGAAATATTAGAACATCACAAATAAGCTCATTTTTACCGGAGCACAAATTCTATTTCAGCAGTTTGGAAGGAGAATAAATGAGAAGTGCTTATTTAAAGGGCAAGAAAGCCCTTCCACCCCCAGTTCTGACAAAATTTGGTTAAGATTGTTTTGATGCATCCATCAAGCTATCGTGCGTGAGAGAAGAAATGGAAAAGGCACTCGATCATGATATAATAGAAAAAGACTGAGGCTGATGTAAAAGGGAAAAGAAATATAGAGGCATTTGTGGTTTCGTTTTTACACAGCTTTCAACAAAGTAGACCTTCCACATAAACTTAACACTGCTCCCAGACACATGTCAGGCCTTTCTCCACACACACCATTATAACACTGACAGCCTTTACTTTTGATATGCAAGACAGTGCAGGTTTACAAAAAAAAAAAAGAACAAGTCAAGAAATAAATGGAAAAGCTTAAACCATGCATTTGTGAGTTTGGTGTAAATACACAGAAGCATTCCACTTTACAACTGGCTATAAATGAATGCTGGAGATTTGCAGGCAAAGAGAAAACGAACTAATAAAAAAAAAGGTGTAAATTAATAAGCTAGTAACCGAAATGCACCCTTTTTTATTTATTTCTTTTTTAGAAGAAAAAGTAACCCTATAAAAAGTTTAGAATTGCTACTATAAAATAAAACTAGTCTACAATTATATCAGTTTAGACACCAATTACATTAAAACTGTTAACCTAAAAGCACAATTATACTCTCCTCTACTCCAATGTGACATCTGCAAGCAACTTCTTCTGCCTGGCTTAGTATCATTGGTTATGTTTGGCACCAACGCATGCAAAGAATGTACACCGAGATATGCAGACGCAGCTAAGACTGCATTCACACTACAACGTTTCACCCAGATCGTGCAAAATCACGTTGTGTATATGCGCATTTTTTCATTACAAGCATAGGGCAACTTATTCCATTCAATGGGCTGGCTTATGCACCACAAACGTGGCAAAAGTAGCTCATGCACTATTGGAACTTCAAGGGGTTTTAGCAAACGCATGTCTTACTGCATTTGTGATTTCAGTAACAATGAATGACATCACCAAGCATGACATGTTTTTAACTTCCCAAAACACTATTGTGTGAATGCGTCCTCAGTGTACATTGTAAAGAAACTCGTGAACACACAAATAGAACTGTTTTTTTATTGCATTATTGCTCTTGTGGGATGTTCCCTGTCTGCAGTGCTCAGGACCTACCAAAAGTAGTCCAAGGAGAGAAAACTGGCAGACTGTTGACAGGGTCATGGGCATGTGAGGAGTGAAGGCAGGGCGTGCATTGCACTTTCATCTGTATAGGGCTGTGTAGCCACAGACAGGTCAGGGTAACCATGCTGACCAGTGTCCACAGCCAAAAGAGCCTACAATAGGCACATAAACATCAGAACTGGGTCACAGATCAATGCAAGAAAGTGGTCTGGTCTGATGAATTCAAAAATGGTTTGTGGAACACAAGTCTGAGGTTTTGATTTGGCCTCCAAATTCTCCACATCTCAGTCTGACCATCTGTGGGATGTGCTAGAAAAACCAAGTCCGATCCATGGAAGCCCCACTTCATAACTTACAGAACTTAAAGGATCTGTTACCAACAGCTTGGTGCTAGATACAACAGCATACCTTCAGAGGTCTGGTTGAGTCCATGTCTCGACGGGTTATGGAGGGTGGTCATAATGTTATGACTGATCAGTGTTTGTATAGACACATACACATATATAAACACACACACATCTGCAGCAGAGGGTGACTATGACCCTTCCAGTGAGATCCTGGGATGAGTCTACATTTCAGTATAACTAAGTACATAATACATGCGCTAACTGGCTTTAGGCTGCAAATGCTCATGCTTTTGACATTAATCTGAGATCATTCAGTGCATGTGTTCTACTTATAGCGGCTTTTGCAGTCTCAGATTTGTATCGGGAGAGAAGTAGTTCTAATGCAAACAAAAGCCTGTCAACACTGGCCTTAACAGTAGCGTCATGCCTCTTCCATGATTACTGAAATAGGGGTTAAAGAAAAACCCAACATTTTATATTCCCGATATGTTTCTGCTGTACCATGAACTTGTATGAAAAACTATCCTGTTCTCTTTGTGTTAAATCCCTGGTGTTCCTGCCAGTCCTTCTACTTTCCTATTAAAAACTGACCACACTGGGCATGAAAGCACATGGTCAGTTTTCTAGCTGTGCAGAGAATTCAGCCTGCTCTCCTCCTATAGTCAGACTTGTGCTGACATTGTATATCTATACACAATGATCTGCCTTTCGTGTCTTTTTTTTAAACGAAATGGGTTATTTTATAAGAGGAGCGTTCACACATATACCTTAAACCGAGAGAGAAAGAAAGAGAGAGAGAAAAAGAAAGAGAGAAAAAGATAGAGAGAGAGAAAAAAGGAAAAAGACAGAAAGAAAAGGAGAGAGAGAGAGAGAGAGAGAGAGAGAGAGAGAGAGAGAGAGCGAGAAACTGCTGGTGCAGCTCCCGGAAGATCATGTCTACTGATGCATGTAGCAGTGAATACTATAGCGATTGAGCAATGCCTGTGCCCCCCTTGGATATCAGATATGAATACTTACTTTGAGCTAATCTGGACCGCTGTAAATTGGCAAAAAATTATATTATCTGGAGTTCTGCTTTAAGACTAGATTACTAATACAGTGCTAATAGAAATCAGTCTAACCCACTGAGGAGAGAAGACTGTAAGGCTTTCCAGCCCCCTACATACAGTATATATAATGCAACTAGGAGACTATAGACGAACTGCAACAAGGTTAAAAATGAGTGCTTGTAATAAAATATTTCCTACCATATGGGTACTTTGTATCAAGTTTATCTGCTGCTGTTCTTGCCCATGGAAGGGCATCATCAGGACAGCCATTGGGCATTCCATTGTATCCAATACCAACAATTTTGTTCTCGGGATTTACAATGCATGCTCCAACCTAAGTAAAAATAAAAAAGATGAATAGACTAAAGGATTTCCGCTACTACAGAGAAAGGTAAAAGAAAATAAGGCTCAGTCCAAATTTCCCTATGGCAAAATGGAATGTGTGCATGTACTCAAGATTCCCCCAGCACGCTGGAAACTTTCAGGATACAACCACACCTGTATGTGATATACAAAGAATGTGCAGCGCTAACGGAAATTAAAATAAACCAACATATCATAATCTACCTAATATTAAATAAACCGTACAAGCGTAACAGTCTATATATGTGAACATCGCAGAATAAATCTTCAATAGAATGGTGGTGCTTCAGCGGTAAAGTGAAGTAAGAATTCCGCACTCACCCGAAGCGTAATAAAATTATGCGGTGTGTATATCAACAGAGGTCCCCCTCATAGGCATGGGTCTGGGCTGGAACATATGGGGATTCTCCCTCCAGGAAGTCAGGATATGCGCCCTCAGAGGAGGTGGAAAGGATCCAGCTGGCCAGAGGTCCCTTTAAGGGATAGGTGGGTATGGATGCCTGTACTACAGGTAATTCCCTCTCTGGATGGATGGACTGGAGACTGGATCGCAGCAGGGCTCTATAAATAATATAGCTCCTTATTGCAGCAACCCAAAGGGCCAATGAGCCTTCAAATTGCCAGATATATTAATACGACCCATCCACATCAATGATTCAGGTTAAGCAGTAATGGTGGTATCCCCCTTTACATGCAGCACAGAGAATGACCCATCCAGATATCCAAGCTTCTCCCAGCGACAGGATGCTAAACTCAGACAACTTGTTCTTGCTCTGGGCTGGAGGCTTTAGGCTAAAGCTGAAATTGCATTGCACCAAAAAGTAGTGCATGGACATGGACTGCAACTGAAACGCGTGGTACTTTTGTACCATGAGATCTTGTGTGGGCAAACGCACAGCATTTGCAACCTGCATTTTGGGTGCCGTTAGCTTTGCACTGACACCCATTTCAGATCGCAAGGGCAGTGTGACTGGAATGCGGTGCAGGAAACCAGTATATAACAGGGATCTCCCACACCATGTTCTACTGTGAACAGGTCCATAGGCATGTTGTGTTCATCACATGCTACACAGCCACCAAAATCTATTTTAATTCCGGGTTGTAATGCAACAGAACAGTGTTCCAGGGCAGGAAGGGGCATAGGTATAATGTTTGCTATACAAACTATACTCCTCTCCAATATCAAGAAGCACGAAAAGGGAGCAAACACCTAGTGCATTTTCAACATTATACTCACAGACCAAAACAGATAGGTAGCATATCATATCATGAATTCAAAACCAAGAAGTCTGCATTCTAGCCTCATAGGACCAAACGGCTGACCATACTAGCTGGCGCATTTTGGCAGACTGTATCTTTTGTCTTAAAGCGCTGTGGATAATACAGTAGGTGTTTGTGCCTTATTTTGTATTGCTTTTTGTTGTTTTCACAGTTCAAGGTTCCCCAAATTGAGGAGGGCTGCCTCGCTGTAATCATCCACCTGGTGTTGCACAGTGATCATTGCATTTGCATATTTTACGGCTAGCTTCTCTCTGACCATTTAGCGATGAGGTGTCACATTTACACAGTTCTACAACTTCTCTCCAATACTTTGCAGTAGCTGTGTTTGGCTGGGATCTGAACCTACATGTTCAAGCCCACCAGACGTTGTCACCTGTTTCGGACAATCAACTGCAGCTGGGTCATTCTTCACCCCACAGTTGCACGTACACAAGGGGTTTGTATAATTGTTGCTGCAGGGAATGCCCTGTTCATAGATAATTGGTCCCTAGAGGTGACCACTTCCCAGTGGGCTCACACATATGGGTTCAGATCCTAGTCTGAACACACCCAAGCTCATCACTACTTTGAAGTGGTCCTGCACCACTACCAATAAAAATGGTCCAACTCCTGGTGAGGAGTAATAGTAAGGTGTAGAAGACCATGACACAATTCTAAGTATAACATGGAGTGTATCAATGTCTGTGCAGTGTACTAGGGAGAGAATTCTTTTTACACAATTGCTGCCAGAATTATTCTGTTTCTCCATATTCCATGGCAGACCAGTTTAATAATTCCCTAAGAAGATGCTCCTCTGTGTCAAACCTCAACACTGTAGTAGAGAAATAGAGGAGCACAATACAAACATTGACAGACATAATGAAATAAATGCACCTACTTGGGAGCTGGGATCTTTACTCCTCTGAGCAGATAAAAAGGCGACGGCCATAAAATATTCACACCATTCTAAGTAATCTTCCCGCTTTTTGCACATTGCATCCACTGATTGCCTATAAAGCAAAATGCAAATTAGAGAAGTGCAATGAACCTTAAAAAAAAAACAAAATCATGTAAACAATGTAAATATTGATAGCTGTCAATTTCATTCAGGTCAGTTCTATTCCCAGGGTACCCTCTCCATTACATCCCAGGACAATAGAAAATAACACTAACGAACAGATTTCCATAATGTATGCAGGTGAGAATTTCAGATGAGGTATGTTCAGAGATGGAGAGATTCATCATACATTTGGAACGCACACAGCTCTGGGAACAATGTGCTAGGCTAGCCATACACTGTACAATCTTCTTTAGATCTACCACCAACTATGTTGATCAGCCATAACTTTATGACCACTGACAGGTGATTATTATACAGGATTTATATAGTGCCAGCATTTTACGCAGAGCTTTCCAACATAAGCGTAGATAGTGCAATAACCATACAATTAAATACAATAGGAATCAGAGGGTTCTGCTCATTACAGCTTACAATCTAACAGGGAGGATCAAGAGATACAAAAAGGTAGTAACTGTGGAGGATCAGCTGATGGAGAAAAAAAAAAAAAAAAGAACAGCTGTTAGGTGGAGGCAGGATAGGCTTCTCTGAATAGGAGGGATTATCTAAAAGTGGACAGAGTAGGAGATAGTTGGACAGTTTGGGGTAGGGAGTTCCACAGGATGGAAGTGGCTTCGGAGAAGTCCTGGAGGAGAGCATGGGAGGAGGTGACAAGGGAGCTAGAGAGCAGGAGGTCTTGAGAGGAATGAGGAGAATGGTTAGGTTTGTATTTTGAACTAGGTTATTGTAGTAGCTGGGGGCTGAGTTGTGGATGTCCTTGTAAGTTGTTGTTAGTTAATTGACTAACAATGAATATCTCCTTATAATGGCATCTGAAAGCCTGTGGGATATATAGGCCAGCAAGTAAACATGTTGTCCCTGAAGGTTAAAACAAAAAAATGGGCATCACAGTTTGTGGTTTATGAGCCTGCATAGCTGCAGACTGGTCAGGGTGTTCAAGCTGACCCGTGTCCACAGCCAAAAACTCCTACAATGGGCACATGAGCATCAGAACTGGACTATAGAGAATGGAAGAAGGTGGCCTGATTAATCACATATTCTTTTACATCCTGTAGATGGCCCAGTGTATGTGTGTCTCTTACCTGGGGAAGAGATGTCACCAGGGTGCAGTATTGGAAGAAGGCAAGCCAGCAGAGACAGTGCGATGCTTTGGGCATTAGTTGCGCTGACCACCAGCGCAAGGGGGGCAAAGTTCCGCTGACCACCAGCGCAAGGGGGCAAAGTTGCGCTGACCACCAGCGCAAGGGGGCAAAGTTGCGCTGACCACCAGCGCAAGGGGGCAAAGTTGCGCTGACCACCAGCGCAAGGGGGCAAAGTTGCGCTGAACACCAGCGCAAGGGGGCAAAGTTGCGCTGAACACCAGCGCAAGGGGGCAAAGTTGCGCTGACCACCAGCGCAAGGGGGCAAAGTTGCGCTGACCACCAGCGCAAGGGGGGCAAAGTTCCACTGATCACCAGCACAAGATAAAATCTTGTGTTAATAAAAGCAAATGTATTAAAAATCACAGCCAGTCCAATCTATATATATACATATATACACAAACATATATATCCTTGGCAGTGCACTGACCAGCCATGCGAAAGCTAGGACGAGTCACGGCTACTGAGTCTAGGCTCGTGACCTCATCGCCTGGTGCTGCTACTCCTTTCCAAGTACATGCATTAGTCCCTATGTGCGTCTCTATTTGATGCTCGGCTGCTGGGGTGACTTGGCCCAATGCTGACAGAGAGGGCTCTGCCTGCCATTCCCTGGCCACCACTGGTTTAGGATGTCCTCACTTCACACAGCTTTGATAAAGTTACAATCAGATTGTATAGTGTATGTCAAGCATAACATGTAGTCTATCAGTGTCCGGGCATTGTATACAGAGCAGGATGTGTGATCAGAGATGATTGGATCATGAGATCACACCGGGGAGATCCAGCCTGTAAAAGAGATGTAACTTCACAACATAGCCCGAGCCTCCCACACACAGGAAGAAGTCTGGACATCGTGTATATATATATGTATATATATAGGTCGGTCCTGTGCAGATTACCCGGTGCTGGTGCCAGTCGCTGCCTCCTCGTTCATCCTGTATAGAATAAACTTTAACTTCCCTAGCCGAGCACACGTGACCCCCCCTCCTCTTCTACATTCGCTTCCTGGACTCTAGTTGTTAAGAGGGGGCGGGGTGATACTATCGACTGTGTGAGATGACTTGTGAAGGGGCGGGGTTAGTGGAATGGAGCTTAGATGGGAAAGTAGAGGAGGAAATGTGCGGAAGATGAGTACCGGGACTGAGAGGGTGCAGAGTGAGGTGGGACTAGTGAGCTGTAGAGTGAGGTGGGAGCAGCGAGGAGCGGGGTGAGGTGTGAGTGGGAGCAGCGAGGCGCGGGGTGAGGTGTGAGTGGGAGCAACGAGGCGCGGGGTGAGGTGTGAGTGGGAGCAGCGAGGAGTGTTGTGAGTGGGAGTGGGGGAGGCGCGGGGTGTGTTGTGAGTGGGAGCAGGGAGGCGGGGGGGTGTGTTGTGAGTGGGAGCAACGAGGCGCGGGGCGAGGGGGAGCAGCGAGACGCGGGGCGAGTGGGAGTAGTGAGATGCCGTGGGAGTGGTGGGGTGGGAGTAGTGAGATGCAGTGTGAGTGGGAGTAGTGAGATGCAGTGTGGGTGGGAGTAGTGAGCTGTAGGGTGAGGTGGGTGGGGGTAGTGGGGTGGGGGGTGGGAGTAGTGAGGTGAGTGGGGAGTAGTGAGCTGTGAGGTGAGTGGGGGGGTAGTGAGCTGTAGGGTGAGGTGCGAGTGGGAGTATTTATTTATCGAGTTTATATAGCGCCAAAGGGGGTTTGCTCAGCGCTGTACAATAGGGGAGTAGTAAGCTGTATGGTGAGGTGTGAGTGGGGGGGGTGAGCTGGGGGGGTGAGGGGGGGGGTAGTGAGGGGGTGAGGGGGTAGTGAGGGGGAGTGGGGGGGTAGTGAGCTGTAGGGTAAGGGGGAGTAGTGAGGGGCAAGTGGGAGTAGTCAGCTGTATGGTAAGGTGTGAGTGGGAGTGTGAGGTGCAGGTGAGATGTGAGTGGGAGTAGTGGGATGCAGTGGGAGGGGGGGTGAGGTGAGAGTAGTGAGGTGTGAGTGGGGAGTAGTGAGCTGTAGGGGTGAGGTGGGAGTAGTGAGGTGTGAGGGGGAGTAGTGAGGTGCAGTGTGATTGGGAGTAGTGAGGTGTGAATGGGGGTAGTGGGGGGGGGGGGGGTGGGGGTGGGGGGGGGGGGGGGGGGGGGTGGGGGGGGGGGAGTAGTGAGCTGTAGGGTGGGGGTGGTGGGAGGGAGGGGGGGGGTGAGGGGGGAGTAGTGGGGGGGGGGGGGGGGGGGGGAGTAGGAGGTGTGAATGGGGGGTGAGGGGGGGGGTGGGGGGGGGGGTGAGATGCAGTGTGAGGGGGGTAGTGAGCTGGGGGGTGAGGGGGGAGTAGTGAGCTGTAGGGTGGGGGGGGGGAGTAGTGAGGGGGTAGGGTGGGGGGGGGTAGTGAGGTTCAGGGGGGGGGGAGTAGTGAGGTGCAGTGTGGGGTGGGGGGGGGTGGGGGGGGGGGGGGGGGTGAAGGGGGGGGGGGGGGGTGGGTGTGATTTCGAGTAGTGGGCAGTGGGGGGGAGGTGGGGGTAGTGGGGGGGGGGTGGGGTGGGGGTAGGGGATGCAGGGGGAATAGTGGGCTGCAGGGTGGGGTGTAAGGGGGGGTGGCTGGGTGGGGGTGGGGTGGGGGGGGGGGGGGGGGGGGGGGGGGGGGGGGGTGGGGGGGGGGGGGGGGAGGGGGGGGGGGGGTGGGGGGGGGGGGGGGGGGCTGAGGGGGTGGGGGGGGTGGGGGGTAGGGGGGGGCTCTAGGGGGGGGGGGGGGGGGAGGGGGGGGGGTGGGGGGGGGGGGGGGGGGGTATGGTGGGGGTGTGGGGGGGAGGTAGGAGCTGGGGGGGGGGGGGGGGGTAGGAGGGGGGGGGGGGGGGGGGGAGGGGGGCTGTATGGGGGGTGGTGGGGGGGGGGGTAGGGGAGGGGGGGGGGAGTGTTGAAGGGGGAGTAGGGGGGGGGGGGGGGGGGGTGGGGGGGGGGGGGGAGGGGGGGGGGGGGGGGGGTAGTGGGGGTGGGGGGGGGGAGGTAGTGGGCTGGGGGTGGGGGGGGTGGTAGGAGGTGGGGGGGGGGGGGTGGGGGGGAGTGGGGTAGGGGGGAGGGGGGGGGGGGGGGGGGGGGGTGGGTGGGGGGGGGTGGGCTGGGGTGGGTGGGGGAGGAGGGGGGGGGGTGAGGGGGGGGGGGGGGGGGGGGGGGGGGAGGGGTGAGGGGGGGGGGTGGGGGGGGGGGGGGGGAGGGGGGGGGGGGGGGGGAGGGTGTGAGGGGGGGGGTGGGGGGGGGGGTGGGAGGTGGGGAGGGGGGGAGGGGTAGGGTGGGTGGGGGGGGGGGGGGAGGGGGGGGGGGGGGGGGGGGGGGGGTAGTGGGGGTGGGGGGGAGTTGGGGGGGGGGGGGGGGAGTGGGGGGGGGGGAGTAGTGAGGTGCAAGTGGGAGGGGGGGGGGGGGGGGGGGGGGGGGTGGGGGGGGGGGGGTAGGGGGGGGGGGGGGGGGGGGGGGGGGGGGGGGGGGGGGTGGGGGGGGGGGGGTGGTGGGGAGGGGGTAGGGGGGGGGGGGGTTGGGGGGGGGGGGGGGGGGGGGGGGGGGGGGGGGGGGGGGGGGGGGGGGGGGGGGGGGGGGGGGGGAGGTGGGAGTAGTGAGGTGGGGGTGGGGGGGGGGTAGTGAGGGCAGGGTGAAGTGCAGGGTGTGGTGTGGGGGGAGTAGTGAGATGCAGTGTGAGTGGTGAGGTGGGAGGGTGAGATGCAGTGTGAGTGGGAGTAGTGAGATGGTAGGGTGGGAATAGTGGGCTGGGGGGTGGGTGTGGGGGTGGGAGTAGTGAGCTGCATGGTGGGGTGTAAGTGGGGGGAGTGAGGGCTGGGGGTTGGTGTGGGGGGGGGGGGGGGGAGGGAGGGTAGGGTGGGGGGGGAGTGGGGGTGAGGGGGCGAGTGGGGAGTAGGCTGTAGGGGGTGGGGGTGGGGGGGGGTAGTGGGGCTCTAGGGTGAGGTGGTGGGAGTAGGGGGCTGGGGGGTGAGGTGGGAGGGGGGGGTGTATGGTGGGGGTGTGGGGGGGTAGTGAGCTGGGGTGGGTGAGTGGGAGTAGTGAGCTGTAGGGGGGGGGGGGGGAGTAGGCTGTATGGGTGAGGTGTGAATGGGGGGGAGGGGGAGGTGAGGGGTGGGGTGTGAATGGGGGGGGGGGGAGGTGCAGGGGAGGTGGTGAGTGGGAGTAGTGGGATGCAGGGGGGGTAGGGGGATGCAGTGGAGTAGTGAGATGCAGGGGAGTAGTGAGATGCAGTGGGGGTAGTGAGATGCAGTGGGAGTAGTGGGTGTGGGTGGGAGTTAGTGAGCTGTAGGGTGAGGTGGGAGGGTGAGGGGGGGGGTGAGGGGGAGTAGTGGGAGTGAGGGGTGGGGGGGAGTAGTGAGGGTGGGTGGGAGTAGTGAGCTGTAGGGTGGTAGGGGAGTAGTGGGAGCTGTAGGGGGGGGGGGGGGGGGAGCTGTGGGTGAGGGTGGTGGGAGTAGTGACCTGTAGGGGGGTGAGTTGTGGTGGGAGTAGGGTGAGCTGAGGGGGGGGGTAGGTGGGAGTGTGAGGTGTGAGTGGGAGTAGTGAGATGCAGGGTCAGGTGTGGGTGGAGTAGTAGGGAGCTGTAGGGTGAGGTGTGTGGGGGGGGTGAGCTGTAGGGTGGAGGTGTGGGGGGGGGGTGGGGGGTAGGAGTGTAGGGTGAGTTGTGAGGGGGAGGTGAGCTGTAGGGTGGGGGGGAGTAGTGAGGGTGGGGGAGTAGTGAGATGCAGTGTGAGTGGGAGTAGTGAGCTGTAGGGTGGGGTGTGGTGAGGGAGTGAGGAGGGTGAGGGGGGGGGTGGGGGGGAGGTGGGGGGTGGGGGTAGTGAGTGGGTAGGGTGAGGTGTGAGTGGGGGTAGTGAGCTGTAGGGTGGGGAGTTGTGGGGTGGGAGTAGTGAGCTGGGGGTGAGGTGGGAGTAGTGAGGTGTGAGTGGGAGTAGTGAGGATGCAGTGTGAGTGGGAGTAGTGAGCTGTAGGGTGAGGTGTGTGGGTGGGAGTAGTGAGCTGTAGGGTGAGGGTGAGAGGGGGGTAGTGAGCTGTAGGGTGAGGGGGTGGGGGGGTAGTGAGCTGTAGGGTGAGGTGAGTGGGAGTAGTGAGCTGGGGGGAGGTGTGAGGGTGGGAGTAGTAAGCTGTGAGGTGTGAATGGAGTAGTAGTGAGGGTGCAGGGTGAGGTGTGAGTGGGATTAGTGGGTGCAGGGTGGGTGTGAGTGTGAGGGAGTAGTGAGATGCAGGGTGGGGGGGTGGGAGTAGGAGGTACAGGGTGAGGTGGGAGTAGTGAGGTGTAGGGTGAGTAGTGAGGTGGGAGTAGTAAGGTGAAGTGGGGGTGTGTGTGGGTGGGAATAGTGAGGTGTGGGAGTTGAGTAGTGAGGTGCAGGGTGAGGTGTGAATGGGAGTAGTGAGCTGTAGGGTGAGGTGGGAGTAGTGAGGTACAGGGTGAGGTGGGAGTAGTAAGGTGAAGTGTAGGGTGTGGTGGGAGTTGAGTAGTCCCCCGAGCCCCCTTACCATCCCCGCCCCATGCTCTGCCTGGCCGTTGGGTTTTCTTTTCCCATCCCAGCTGCGATCTTCACAGGGTGTATCTGGATGCTATGTTGCCATTCTGGCCTGTGAAATTCCCTGGTCAGAACAGCAGTGCAGTTGTCTTAGCCAGATGCACCCTGTGAAGATTATGGCTGATTGGCTGTGTATAAAGGAATGTGATTTTTATCTTTGTAGTGTGGGGAGGAAGAGCTGCGTACAGTGCTGGGATGGGAAAAGGAGCTCAGCTAAGTGCCCTGCCAGCCATGATCCCTGCCCTGCCCCTCCAGCGATCTCTGTCCTGCTAGCAGTGACCCCTGTCCTCTGTCCTGCCTATGGTGATCCTTGTGCTCTGATTCTCCAGTAGTGATCCCTATCATCTGTCTCTCTAGTGGTGACCGCTGTCCTCTGTCCTGCTAGTAGTGACCCCTTTCCTTTTCCTGCCCATGGTGATCCTTGTGCTCTGCTTTTCCAGCAGCAGTCATCCCTGTCCTCTTTCTCTCTAGTGGCGACCCT